TGTTGTCGGTTTATCGGGATTGTCGGGGTTGCCGAGGTTGCCGGTCGTTGTAGGACCTCATGATAACTCCACGTTTCGCGCGCTCTCTAGGCTGTCTCAGATCCCGACAACCGCGACAACACCGACAACACCAGCAACATCGACAACCGTTGCCGGCAACTTATGGCCGTTCCCAAATGCACCATTCAACTCAGCTGGACGACATGCATCTTCCGATATATAGAAGTGCCTGTTTGATTTTGCGGTAGTCAGCTAAATTTCACGAGTCTTTCCAGATTTTTTCTCACGGTGGATTACTCGTTTTGCAACGAATAATCACTTTGGATAATATACCGTGAGCAAAAATCTGGAGACGTTAAATTTGACCCCAAAGGGCGCTCCTATATATCAGAAGATGCACCTCGTCGAGCCGAGCTAATTAGTACTTTCGATTCGAAATTCACCCACCCCGAAGCAAGATATGGGATGCGTCGCAAAGTTCTCCGAACTTCGGCGAGCACGATGATTTTTTTTATCACAAGATAAGCGCGTTATTGTACACATTTTTTTTATCCTTGCATTCTTCCCTCGGAGGGGGTCTGCTGCTCTGGTTAGTCTCTTCCAGACTTCTCGATCTTCAGCTTGATCTTCTTCTATCTCAAGTTCTCTCAAGTCCGCTTTCACTTTGTCTATCCATCTCAATTTCGGCCTCCCTCTTGGCTTCTTTCCAGGTACTTCGACTGACATCACCACCTAGCGACATGATCTTCCGCTCGTCTTCTAACGTGTCCATACCATCGCAATCTCTTCTCTTGTATCTTCTTGACGATAGGGGCGACCTTCATCGTAGCTCGTATGGTGTCGTTAGTGACGTGGTCCAGCATCGTGACTCCCGCTGTCCATCTTAGCATGCGTGTCTCCATCACACCAGTCCTTCGTTCGTCTTCTCGCGTGCACGGCCAACATTCGCTGCCATACAGAGCAGTCGGGCGGACTGTAGTGCGATACAGCTGGGATTTTAGCTTGAGTGGCATCTTCTTATCGCACAGGACTCCTGTGACACTTCTCCATTTCGACCAAGCTGCATTTATTCTGCTGGTTATTTCGTCCTGAAGCGTACCATCTGCGGCGATGCGACTTCCTAGATACTTGAATGTCGTGGTCTTCTTCATTGGGGCGCCTTCGATTTCTATAGTTCCAGGCGTTTGAGGTCCCACCTCCATGTACTCGGTCTTGCTGGTGTTGATCTTCAAGCCGTGCAGCTCAAGTTCATTTTTCCACTTCTGCACCTCGGCCTCCAGTACGTTCCTGCTTCTTGCCATCAGCATCACATCATCTGCGTACATCAGAGCCCACGGAGGTTGCCGTATGAAGTCTCTAACTATCGCATCCACTACCGTGATGAAGAGGAGGGGTGACAGTACGGAGCCTTGATGAACTCCGGCGTTGATCTGGAACTCTTCTGATGGCCCTGCTGCTGTTTGTACGTGGCTTCTGGCATCTTTGTATATCATCTTGATCCATCGCACATATTCTTCCGGCACCATGTGCTTTCGTAGTGACCACCATATGATGTCATGCGGCACTTTATCGAACGCCTTCTCCAAGTCCAGGAACGCCGCGTGCAGCTCGCATTGCTTTTCCCTGCTTCTTTCCATCATTATTCTGACAGCGTGGATGGCATCTGTTGTACTGCGGCCTTTGACGAATCCACACTGGTTAGGGACTAGCTCCACGATGTTTCGCAGTCGTGCTTCTAGAATTCTTTCGAAGATCTTCAGGGTGTGGCACATAAGTCGGATGGGGCGGTACGTCGAGCAGTCAGCTACGTCACCTTTGTTCTTCCATATTGGTACCGTCACGCTTCTGCACCAGTCGTTCGGAATTTTCTTGGCTTCTATCACCCGATTGAGCAGTCGTGTTAGCCATGTAACTCCAGCTTGACCACATGCTCTCCAGAATTCGTTGGGGATGTCATCGGGGCCTGTCGCCTTGCCGTTCTTCGTCTTCATTATTGCGGCGCGAACTTCGCCTTCGGTGATAGTTGGAACTGGTCCATGCACAGGCTCAGCTGTAGACGTCACTGTGTACTCGTGGCTTGTAGACGCTGTCTCGGCGAAGTGTGCCCTCCATTTTTCTCTTATCTCTTGTGGCTTCCTGAGCATTTTCCCGTGTGCGTCCTTGATACTGTAGAAGTGCTCTACATCTCTTGTGGCGATTGATCTTGTTTTCGCGAGTCGGTAGATGTCTCGTTCGCCTTCTCGAGTGTGCAGCTTCTTGTAGAGTACCTCCATATACGCTTCTTTTGCCTCTTTGACACTCTTCTTGGCTGCCCGCTTCGCGTCTGAGTATCTCTGCCGTGCCTCTTCTGATTTCAGCTTCTGCCACATTCTGTACGCTGTCTTCTTCTTCTTGATCATGGATTGCACTTCTTCGTTCCACCACCAGGTTTCTTCGTCAATTTTTGCCCTTCCTGGCTTCGTACATCCTAGTAGACTGCTTGCTATCTGGTGGACATTCTTCTTCAACTTCTTCCAGGAGTCTTCTGATTCTTCTTCCAACTCTGGTAGGGCAGATTCCATGGCTGCTCTGATGTGGTCCTTGTCTTTGAGCTTCCACCATTTGATCCGTGCTACTTGCCCTGTTGTTGTTCTTCTTTGCTTGTCGGCTGGAATATTCAGATCCAGAATTAGTGGTCGATGTTGTGGTATGCAGTCTTCTCCGGGTATGACCTTGGTGTTCTTCACATACTTAAGCTCATTTTGTCGTACTGTCCAGAAGTCTATCTGTGTCTTCCGATTCCCGCTGGCGTACGTGATGAGATGATTATCCTTCTTTACGAAGTATGTGTTTGCCAGTGCCAAGTCATGCGCCGTGGCGAACTCCAGAATACGTTCTCCTTCGCTGTTACGTGTTCCGTATCCGTGATTACCATGACACTTGCTTGTACCACTTCGTTGTACACCTACATGCCCGTTGAAGTCTGCTCCTATTAGTAGCATCTCGTCGCGTGGTATCGAGTCGATACAGTCATCGAGCTGCTTCCAGAATTCATCCTTCTCTATCTCCGTGCACCCAACTTGTGGCGCATATGCGGTTACGACTCGTAGAATTCTTTTCCCCATATCCATTCTGATGCACATTAGTCGATCACTTATTCGATCCACGTCCGTGATTCTACTTCTTAACGCTTCTGAGACCACTATACCGACGCCGTTCCTGTTGTTGCACGTTCCTTTTTACAGAAGCTTGTACCCGTCACCTATGTCTCGTGACTTCTCTCCTTTCCATTTTGTCTCCTGAATACAGGCGATGTCAACCCTACGTCTTCTGAGAAGATCAGCCAACTCGCGATGCCGTGAAGTGAGTGATCCTACATTGACGGTGGCTAGACGTAACGCTGAGAACTTGGATACTCGCCTATGGTGAGCTAGCTTCTTCAACCGTCCCCGCTCACCCTGCTGAAACGGTAACCCTAGCATACTGTTCGCAACCGTCGGGCTCGAATGCGCGTCGCCTCCGGGGAACGCCCTAGCTTTTGTTCCGAATACTTGATGAGACATAAAAGAGCATTTTGATGCGACCAATGTCTTCTTCAGCCGGCTTGTCGCTTGCTTTCCCTTTGGATTAGCAGCCTGACGCTGGTTTCGTGGGGCGAGAGTTTTGCCAAAGAGATTAGGCCCATTGCGGAACCGAACCTGTGACCTTCCTCGCCGTAGTCAAGGGCACTAACCTCTCGGCCACTCCGCCCCGTTATTGTACACATTTGCAGTCAGTTATTGTTAGATTGGACGACATCTGGCAATTTGCCAAATATCACGGCAGCCAAAACGCATGAAGTATATCTGCTCTAAAAGTGATTTGAAGCGTGCTCTGCAGCAACGGCCGTACAAGCCTCGGCTTGCTCAGCTAGTTCCGAGGTTGGTTCGAATTTGTACCGCAAAAATCCCTAGGACAGACATGTTTTTACAGTCGAGTAGATTTTCCGTTTAAGAGTGTGCCTGCACAGTTTATGAAATGCGGTAAAATTTGCGCGCGAACAGGTAGCTGCGCAGGCACTGCCGGCATTTTGCCCGCGCAAGAAGTTAATTCCTCACGCGCAAATTTTACCGCATCTCACCTTCTGTGCAAGCACACTATATTAAGCGGAAAATCTACTCCACTGTACTTTCGTCGTTCTGAAGAATCCGCAAGGGAATACTACGACGAAGTGTGACAAAAGTGGACAAGTAGCACTCTAGGAGAGAGAAAAGCTCTGTCATTTAGAGCTCGAAGACGGCATGAAGTTGGCAGTAATAGACAAGCACTTATTTTTGTAGTTCAACTTTGATTTTTCAGCGCCAGAGAGCATACAGTGCCTTTCTATCCGAGTTCTGTTTTTCGCATGTCAAGATCCTGACTTTGACTCTAAAAAAGTTTGCTTATGCGAGTCACATTCGTGTTCACCTATGTTTCTGTTGCTGCTGAGAAGAGACGATAAAGCGGACCCAGCGAGGGGCGAGGGGGGCGACAGCCCAAGATCGATCACAGACTTCAAGGGAAGTGACCACAGTAGCGTCGAGGTTCGTTTACTTTGTGGCTTTGAAGATCTAATGCTGCTAGTTTTATTAGACTAGGTCTAGACTGACAGAGTGAGGAGGCGCTTGAAGCTATGGTGAGCAAGTCAAAGAGCCTACAAGCCGTTTTCAGACCTCCTGAAGACGACATTGTCGAACTGTAAGTTCAATAAAGTCTCCACCTCAGAATCTGAAGGCACCAACTACTGACACAGTTACTCTACTAAAATCTTATGTGCCCAGATTCAAACACAAAGGGCAATGTGACTCAATCTAAATAATTTAACTTAGTGACCACACATTTAGCTGCAGCATTCGAGCTCTGTACTGTTTCTCTGAAATGCCCGAACTGACTGCATGTTGTGAGGTATTTCAGAGAGAAAAAAAATGTCCCAGCTACTGTGTGTTTTTTTTCCTAATGAGTAGATCCTGTCAAAGGTACTTCCACATTTTTTTACATAAATCGAACTTTTATTTTTTTTGATTATTGGGGTTCACAGATTAGAACCAATCTCACTTTTCTTGAATTTGGATCAGAATAACATATCACCGTATTTGGATATCATCGAAAAAGGAGAAGTAATATACACATCAAAACTAATGAGAACAATGGTGTCTTGGATCCTTCGTTGCATAGGTCCTTGTTGCAGCAGCACGTGACAGTACCTTTAGAGTCTTTCTGACAGCCACTATCCTGTAAAATGTTTTCCATATCTTCTGTGATTTGTCTGTACCGGAGCTCACCTTACAAAGGGTGTTATCGCAGCCATAATAATTTAACCATTTGTCTGCACTGTTGCGAATACTTAATCTGTAAAAATCAGGGTTTGTCATAACTCGGTCGGAACCAACACATGGGTGGCTTTCGTCACGGGAGGTGATCAGCAGCTTCACTTCATATTTTAAACTCTATCTCGTGGTAGCGCGAGAGCTTATGCTCCAGTAAGTGGCTTTGCCGATATACATACCTCTTGATTTCTGAAGCCAGATCACTCTGTTGGATGTCGGCGCGCGAAGTCACATGTCTACGACCAGCAACTTCACTTTTTCACACTACGAGATGACCAGGTACAGCGAAGATAGACACATCTTCTCTTGAAGGCAGTGTTCCGTCAAAATCGCGCTTCCCTATTTTTCACCTTTTCAGAGCCTTCTCGCTATGACCCATATCTGTGCTTTGCAGCGCACAAAGATGGCGAAAATGAGCTTTTTCCAAAGATCTTCATGTCCGCATTCGCTGCAAAATACATGGGGGTGGGCGGGTTCCGGAAAGGGTTCGGGTCCGTAACACTTCCAAAGTGGATTTCAGGCTTCCCAAACTTTTTGATAGATCATTTGGAGGAGGGGGGGGGGGCCTGCCACTGCAACGCTTCAAAAACCCAGTACCCATCTTTTGCCGAGACACTGCCTTTAATTCTATAAAGCAGTGTCACTGAAGGGGATCGAACTTCCAATCATTTCATGCTTGACCGCCTCATTGCATTACCACAAATTTGCATCGTCTTGAGCTTTTATTTTTGCCTAGTTCTTATTTAACCTGGAAAGCACTTTTACTAGAAGTGGTCATTTGAAACGATATACTGAGATCACTCATAAATGCTGAACTCGAAACTGCAATTTATCTGCGGAACACTTTTTTCAAAAAGTGAGTAACAATCGAGATGCAAAAGCGCTGGGTTACGATTTGAACCTGCAACTCTCTGCGCGATAAACGAGTACACTCGCGCTGCGCCACCCGACTACTGTTGGAGCTGCTACCACATTGTAAAAGTGAATACCTATGGAAAGGTCGTTTAAGAAATACTGAGAAGCTGATCGGCGAAGCCCGGAAAATATTTTGTATCGGGTTTTGTTAACTCGGTCCACCTGTCATGAGAACTCTAGAAGCTCAAAATGGAAAACGTGAAAAATTGTTAAATTACTGAAGGGTAACAACAGTTCGTAACTTCGGCAGTTATCTCAATAATCACAAAAGGAAGTAGAACGAAAACATCGCCGTTAAAGAGGAAGAAATCTCGAATAGCTTTAGAGACTTACGCCTTCATTCCACGTCTATTTGGTGAATAATAACGAAAAAACCTCCGGATCCACTTAAAGGCAGCGTACACCCAAAATTTGAGTTACCGAATTTCCAAGATCTTTCTACACCATGTATATACTGGGCCCAGAACAAGACCAACTGCGTTGGTCCGGTCTCCCAATGTTGCTTCTGAGCGGAGAAAACCCCCCTCAATTTTCTTTCATGCCGCCCCTTTTCTTTCGCTCCGCCTCCTCCGGACGAATCCATAACAGCGTAAGCTGCAATTGCAGTTGCAGTTGCTGTTGCAACATCTGTTGCATTTGTTTTGGGTGTACGCTGCCTTTAAGCTTTCTTGCGAGCTGTTTTCAAGTGCGTTTTTTTCCATATCATCGTTCAGAACGATCATCTTGAAGTTTTTTTGCTTGCGAAACTATCACATCATTATTTGCAGTGAAAAAGTGGTTGGACCTGTGTGTCTCATAAAAGAAAGTGCTAATTTTGTTCCCCAACATGAAAAAACTAATGATCTTCATCAGCGGTTTACGTTCAAACAAAGATGAAAATGAAACAGTCGCGGTTGCCTGCTTTGATTTTTTTTTGGAATTGATTTATTTGAAGGGCACCAGAAGATGATATGGCTACCATATTCTATTTTATTTATTTTTATTTTACTGGTACACTGAAGGTGCACCAAAGAACAAATAGGAAAGCACAAACTCAAACGCGTCGACTAAAAACGTGACACCTGCTGTCCAAGGCTTTAGGGAGATAAACGTTGAACTTATATGGCAATAATTATGAACCCAAGACCCACTAGGATAGCTACATCCATTTAGCAAAAGTTTGATGAGTGTATGCGGTATTGGCTAGAGAAACAATGAATCTAGGATCTATCCTCCAAAATTATTTTAAACACCCTTTTTTGGAGTGCCAGCGAGTTTACGAGCGGAAACCATCTGACTAGACCCACATGAAGATATATTTTAGAGGATGTTAAGATTTCAAAATGGAGTGCCAGCTTAATGGCCTGACCGGTCAAACATGGAAGCAAATGTAAGCTAAGGTTTCGTTTGATAATAACAACTTACTTGGAACAAAATTTTACATTTTTCAAGCATTCGATTTGATTTCTAGGTCTGGCGTAGTTTTCCGTGTTTTCTGAAAAACATTTATCTGGGATTTTTTGCTTTATAAGAAGGGAAAAAATTGCTAAGGCTTGAAATTCTTACCTTTGTAGCATTTCAGAGCTAATGTAGTTTCCAGCACCACAGAAAGTATAGAAATCAGAGTCACGGGCGACATTACTTTCAACAACACTGTATGAGTAACTTTAACGTTGTATATTGAATCATCGATAAAGATTGCGTTTCTCGCTGAAGAACGACTGTGATCCTAAACTGATAAGGACTGTCAAAGTTGTTTCCGTTGCTTCTTTTTGGTCATAATTATACGTTTTCGAAACTTTTAGATCAGCAAAAAGTGGATTCAGCTGTGACAGGTAGTAAATTATACATGAGTCATCAAAGCGAATTCTTAAGTGGGTTTTCCTAGATAGGCGAACACAGTCGTTATTGTGTAAAAGAAGACAGCTTATGAAAAGTTGAGGATTATGCAATTTTTCGCAATATCATAAGATGAAGCGTCTTAATGTATGGGTGGTGCGATTTGATCGAAAGTAAAGACATTGTGATAAGCTAAACCTTTTGCATGCGTGAAATTAAATCGTGTATCGATGGTCAGTGTTTCACGCACTATTCACTTCAGAGTCATGCAATCTGCACGGACATCTGACCTATGCGGACATCTTTCACACATTCTGTGTCGTTTGCCGCACCAGATCATGACGTTTTGTAAATATCCATGTCCTCCTAGGTTTCAAAAGGTCGTTCTAGGGCGCATGCTAGCATGTTCCCGCAGCGGGGGGGGGGGGGGGAGGAGGGTGGAAGGTAAACGCAGCCTTTGAAGCTTTGGGCACGTGGACTCTTTGCTGAGCATTTTCCAGCTTTTTGAACGGTCTCCTGACGATGTCCAGCGGCCGACCGTCTCTTCTTGATTCTTTAGTAAAAAAATCCAAAAGTTGTACCAATTATATAAGCAACACTGGTAAGCCCTGGCATACCTCTCGCGACTTCCCCACGCGATTTGGCCATTGCCAGATCTCTTCAAGCAGAACACTCGCAGACATAAATGCTCGGTGTATTCTTTTGTGAGTTGATAAAATATGCTATTTTCTGCGTGTTCAACTTGAGTTTGCGACGAGTTATAAGCAACTGGAGAATTGCCAAGTCGCGTCGCGATTGAGATGCGTGAGGTATGGTCGGGGTCTCAGGCACAACACTCTATAGCACACTCTCAAGAACGAATAATGTATCAACATGCTGAGGTTTTTGATGGGCCCCAATTTTCAACCTCGCCGCAATTTCCATGTCATCGAAACGTCATAGTTCTTATTAGAAACATGCTTACAAAGGAACCACGTTTAGTCGAGTGGCATTTTTAGGGATGTATACTATACTATACTGGAGACCATAAAATAGTAATTCCAAATCTGCCTTCCTTATCTGCGCAACATTCATGAATGAGGAGTTATGAGCGTTTATTAGAGCAAAAAATCACATGCGCAAATAGGTAAGAACTGTCGTCATATTCTTTCTAGCTTTTTAATAAAGCAGCGATAAATATCAAAGCACTTATATGATAAATTCTCTCACTTAAAATGTATTTCACTACTAGTTACTCTATCTGAACGGCTTGGGAGATTTTAGCAGCATTTTATCCTAGATCTTCTTGTTTTTTGCTTCAATAACTCAAAATAAATTTGATGGAAAGACGGCCGGCCTTCTGGGGATCATCGCGATATCATATAAATGCGGCTTGCAGTGGTGGACCGAGGGGGCGGGGGGAGGAGGGCGTTTCCTCACCCTCCGAGAGGGTCACGAAATTCATGGAAGTTACTTACATGACTTAAAAAATGTGGAAATGACTTGTTCAAATTTGTAAATGATTGAAATAAATTGAAAAGTTTTGAAAATTTTATTAACCTTGTAAAATTCTTTTGGGGGCGTGGTTTCCGTCGCTCCTTCTCTTCCTGAAAGTTCGAGGTTGTGGACCTTCAAAAACTTGGATCCGAGAACATTTCTGAGTGTGCGGCTAACGCACACCTTCATTCGAAAAATTTTTTCTTCTTCCCCTCCTCATGCCCCCTCCCCCCGAACGGAAATCCTATGACCGGCACCGGTGGGCTTGTACATCTTTCTGGGTGGAGGACATTAGGTCGCCGAATTTGGAAGAGTCCCGCGCGGATTCCCTGCAGGAACGCCTGTCCGCGCATGTACAAGGGTGCGTGTTTGTCGCAAATGACCGCGGGGACCGCCCTTTTTCGGCGACCTAATGTCCCCCACCCCATCTTTCTGCTTCTGTTCGGAATGTCTATAGGAGGGATAGTAGGAAAACTTCCGATTGGAGAGACAGCGTGAAATTACGATATATGGAGCTTCAGGATATGAAGCTTATTTTGAGCTGCGATGCCTTCTCGGGGTAATATAAATGCATGTGGCCCTCATTTATGTCCACTGAGGGCTGAATTGACCAATAAAACTCTTATGTCTCTTCTTCTGCCATATTTGGCACTTAGGCATTTACATATAACAACTACGCAATGGGACGTCTTGATATAACAACCACTTAATGGTCCCAGGAATTCTTCCGAGATTGTGCGTGGCAGTTTTTTCTCAGATGAGCATGTGAGGTGTTGGCCATGCTCTTTGGTGAAATTCTTGAGTGTTTTTGAATTCTTAGCGAGTTTTGTGCTAGTGCTATAAACAAAGGATCATTTCCACTATTTGTAGAAACAAGTCGTAGATACAATTTTAAACTCAAGTATAATTCATTTATGGAATCGTGAGACGGCTTTGACTGCTGACTTTGCGCCCACAGGAGCATACAACGCTCATACAAGAGACATCACCTCAACGCTCATCTCAGTAACTTCCAGTGTCTAAATACTATCATACATAAACACAAAAATCATTCGACTAAAGGTAAAGACCAAGAAAATGCGGTTTCGGAAAGTGGCGTGCATGTCGCGCGCGGTCGCGCCATCGTTTCAATTTTTTGAATTGCCCTATAAATCATTTTCAACGACTTCGGCTTTGCTACATGGTGCCAACGACAACGCATCTAGTTAGACTTTACAAAACCTACATACCCAACCATGGTTTCACTGTTTGAACTTCTGTATGAATGAAAGCATGCGCGATATGAAAGGGTCTATAGGTTTTAACAGAGAATACGATAAGACTATTCCGTTCATCCAATACTATTGATAGAGACGGATGGGACGTTTTGCACACAATATGTCTCACGGCCGCTCGAGCTGTCACCTCGTCGTGTGCGATCATCGTCACCTGATCCTTAGTTTGCTTGGGCAAAATAGCCACAGAAAGTTTGGCGAGCGGTTGCGGCATTGTATGGAGGTCACACGGTTGCACACGGTTGAACAAAATTGCCTGAGCTCCTTTTGATTTTACGCTCATTAATCTCTCCAAGACCGTGTAGTTTCGAAAGTCAATGAATTCGGTAATATTGGGAATGGAGTAGAAGAAGGAATGAAGCGCGTTAGGTGCCACTCGCACACCGTACCTACCGTATACAAAGCATGTGCGAAAGAATTAACAGTCCATCGCGTTGTCTTTCCAACGGTTTTTTCCCTCTACGTATTTCTTAAACACCCTGAAACTATTTTAACTTCATTCCTTCAACAGTTGTAGTTGACTGCACAGAATCAGATGGGCTGAACGCCCGCGAGCGCGTCTCTTACGGGCTAATATTGGCATTCGCGCACATAAGTCATCATAGCGCCCGTACTCGGTAGCCGCGTTGCCGGCACGCTCGCGTGCATTAAGCCTACAGCTACCCGGGCGATTTCGTGCAGTCGACACTACCTCTACCTGATTTCAGCTGCCATTCGTGGTTAGCAACAAAAACGAGTACATGCAAACAATAGCTACGAGATGTTTATCAATATGTACAGAGTCCCAATATTACATGGACAATAATAAATTCTAACGTCGCATCAATCGAAATTGCTATGAAATTGAAATAGCATCAATATTACGTGCTAAGACGAAGATAAGAAAACTTAGTTTCATTCTAAAAATTTCAAAACAGCAATTTCGCCAAGGCAATCGGAATTACGGCGATGAGAGCGGAATATCCTGATGCCGTATTGCAGAGGTCTGTATTGCTGCAGCAGCATGTGGTTACTTGATTTGTAGTCGTACATCCCTCATTCTGAAAAATTGATTTTAGGGGTTTTAGGTGAGATTTTCTAAACACTTACACTGCATTGATAGGCAGCACAATAGTACGAGTTCAAGTCCTCATTGTTCACTCTAGTAACTGTCCTGGAAAAAATAGCAGGTTATCTTGGCGCGTTTATACTAAGTTCTCATCAAAGACATAGTCCAGGTCGATTAAGGGGTGGTGGGATTTTGACCAGATTTGACCGAAAAAGGTGGGTTCTGGAGCGAGAAAATCGCTTCGAAAAAAAAAGGGCGGTAAGCTAATCCCACCTCCTTGACAAGTCTTGGCGTGGCAGATGCTATAGACCTAATGTATTAATCTTGTCAAAACTTGTCAAGGATGCGGGATTAACGAACCGCCTTCTTTTTTCCGAAGCAATTTTTTCGCTTCGGAATCTACATTCTTCGATCGAACTTGAACTATTGCATTAATCAGGAGCCGTGCTCCCGCGCTGCGTCAAAATCTCACCACCTTTCAGTCGACCTGGACAATGCCTTCAACAGCTCTGAGACTAAAAGACTCGGAACCGTTTTGCACGCATTATCTAGACATGCTTGAACTTGTTCTTCTCTGGTGTGTACGTAGTGAATAATATTAGATGAGACAGATTACAAGTATAGATTGTTAACCGCTTGTTCAGACAGTTGTGCAAAGCGGTTTTGAAACTCTTACTCTCAAAGTGAATGATACATACTTCAAACAATAAGCAGAAGCTGGACAATTTGTTGAGGTCTGAGGTTTCTCACTGTTCCTGGTTGTGCCTGAAATGAACTGTTAGGTTTGAGAAGTGATATCTTGGAATTTTCTAAACATAGCTTCTTATAGTTTGTTGAGTCTCGTTTTTTTGTATTCTTTTTCAATCCCTTCTTCTCTCAACCTAAAGGTGACTAACTCCTGATATCATGAAGCCAAAAAGTATTTGAAGAACCTAACGAGACCATCAAGAGAACAAAAATGCAGCTACTATTATCTCTCTGCTCCCATACTGAAATGATGAAAGATAAAACAGATGCAAAGGGGAGAAGAGTGTCTTCCTTTGCTCACGTCATGAATTTTAAGAAAAATTGCTGTCATCGGGGGAATTTGTAGAACGTTCGCAACCATAATCAAGAATTTGGAGATTTTTATGTGGAAGCTGTATGTATAGCACAATGTAGACATAATTAGGTGCCTGTAAATAGCTGATATGTTTTCTTAATTTTATGCGGGCTGATTTATTCTTGCAACCTAGCTGCGTGTGAAAAGTTACTGTATGCCTAAAAGGCTCTGAATTACTGTAACGCCCCAGCGGAACCTACTTTCCTACTTACCAGGAAAGTAGGTTCTTTTACTGATTCTAATTTTGATTCATTCGCGTGATTTTTGAGCTTTCAAAGAAAGATGACAAGAAGCTGCGATTTTCACTCGCTTGGCTATCACGTTTAGTACGAGAACTGATTCAATGCCATTTTGTAAAGTAGAATCTTCAATCCAAATTGGGTATACTTACCTGTATAACATCTAATAGCAAAAGTACATGAAATGAGAGCGAAAAGAATGACGATGGCACGAAGCGATGACATGTTTTCGAATGGAAACCTTCACGCAGACTGTGTTTTGAATCTGGTGTGTTTGCTCGCTGACACACAGGTGTTTATTTTCGTCCGCAAATCCTTGATCGGGCGCGAGGGAGAGAGGCTTACCTATCGTTTATATTGACAAGTGAAACATTTGTATGAAGCTTGAGCAATACATATTGAGTTGGCTTGTGAGGGGGTGGCGGGGTGAGGTGACGCACGAAAAGTTCTGAAAGTTTCTGGATTTGGTGCATGGTATGATTTGGTAGAATAATAAGTAGAGTAATATATGAAAATCCAAAGTTCGATTTCTTCTCTGACGCAGTCAAACCTTCCACTCTTCCGATATAGAGTTGTACATTAGGTCGTCTCCAAAGTTCTGTCATATCATTTCTTCCATAACTACCCGTTATCCCGACAGGTTTGCTTTGCTCAACTTTTTTATAAAAAAGAGAGGTTTGTGTGGCTTGGTAAAAACGTCTCAGCAATTTTGTATTGGAAAGGTCACAGAGATGCCAGCGGTCGCTGGTGCTCCGATTATTTTGTGATGGGGCCAAAGATTTTAAAGTTACAGAATTTCCAATAATTTGGGCCTATTATTTACCGCCGTGGATGTTTCTTTGACCTCACAATTTACGTTTTATAGAAACTATTACGAAGCCAGAAGCTTATCTTTTTGAAATATAAATGAAGTGAATCTGTTGAGGTAACGATTATAATTGTCCATAAGAAACGAGACTTTATGGAATATTCTATTCTGATCTCTCCGCCGCGAGGAGTTATCCGAGCTTTGTGTAGGGCTAATAAGGAGTAATTAGCTAAATGTTAAAATTTTTGAAGGTTTTTTTTTTCAAATATTCACTAAATAACACTTCAACTCTTCAGGTGCTGGACAAATTACGAATTTTCTAGAGAAGAAATTAACCGATGCTAAGCTGAATTTATTTGTAAGTAAGCTGTGCTTGCTCTTCATTCTCATAATATCACTTGTGTAAAAACATTAGAAGGGTATGGCTTTATACCACTGAAAGGTTGCCAACTATCATCGGCATTATTTGCTCACAATTTTTCGTTGATCATAGATCATTAATCCAACTTCGCGATGGAATGGCAAGAATCACATATACGCTGACTGAGTTTACGATCGGGAACTGATCTTTGATTTCCTTTCGGTTTTTCAAATGGTGGACTCGTTAGGACGAAAGGTATTCATTCAGCTCAATTTAACCGAGTTCTCGTTTTTGCACTTAATCAGATATGATCGCAGGTAGGTTTGGGTTTGTTTACGGCGAGTATCGTTCGATTGACAGCGTTTGATCGAACCTGTTCTCTATTTGTTTTGTAGTTTTTGAATACGAGAACATGGTATTGATGGTTTTGAGTGGGGACAACTTTTTATCCAAATCACGGAAGAGTTTGGGCGAGGGGAGGGGTAAGTAACTAGTAGCAGAACGCTTTCAAAGGATTGGTATAATCTTGTCTTTTATCCCTTTTTTTCTGTGCAAAAATTCCTTTCAAACAAATTCCTATGCCAATTGTATGCTCAATGATAGGGCCATTTTTGAAGCTATCATGCAGTGCGACATGTAGTCAACATAAAGTTTATATCAACACCAGCAAACGATACACAATGATGACAAACCATTGGGCGCACAATGATGGTTTAGGCATTGGACACTTTTATTATGGAGACTGTAGTTTGGCATCTAGCACATGTTCGCTTTTAAATTCGAGTTTTTTATAGCCTGAAAAGTACTTGCTAAACAAGGTATCTAGCGTATGGTCACGAAGTTTTGGAGGAATTCTCAATCAAGGTCTTCCTGTACAAAAAAGCGTCTAGGATAAGAATTCTGCACCTGGTCTAAACAGTGCGTCTATATAGACTTTAGATAAATCCAAAGTAACAAAATGGAGCGACTTTTAATTGATTCAGGAGGCAACAGTGGTTTGTATAAAGTACGCATAGGGTCCTGTGTGTGTATGTGTGTGTGTATGTGTTGTATGTGTGTATGTGTGTGTAAGTTTGTGTATGTGTGTATGTGTGTGTATGTGTGTGTAGGTGTGTGTATGTGTGTATGTGTGTGTATGTGTGTATGTGTGTGTATGTGTGTGTATGTGTGTATGTGTGTGTATGTGTGTGTATGTGTGTACTATGTGTGTGTATGTACCATTTGATTCAACTGGCTTGGTATCGGCAAAGACGGGGCTTCGTGACCTAATTAAGGCTAGGTAATGATCAGAGAGCACTCGCGCGAGAGAAACGCAGGTGCGTCGCGGGCGCGAGCGGCCTTAAAGGCAGTGTCCGGGCAAGATGGGGGTTTTGAGATTTCTCTGCCATGTGAGACTGGCCCCCCTGAGACACAACATCGCGCAACTGCGAGCATAAAACCCTCGACCTAAAGCAAGAAAAACAATTGCAAAGTGCGGAAACTTACGCCTCTGGGCGGGATCCTCCGAGCTGTTTGAATTCCTGCCAGACGGCAGAGTACGTATGCCGCCATAGTTAAAAACCGTGCGCTCTTTGCAACTCTGCGTCTTAGCCTGGCGGGGATCCTCAAATTTCGAAATGTAAGGGCTTGGAAAATGCATGTTCTCGCCGTTTTCGTGCTTTCTGATATGGATTTTCGGATTCAGCGTTGCGGATAACCCCAGATAAGTTGATTTTTTAAAAGTCGAGTTTCTGCCCGGACACTGCCTTTAATTAGATCACAAAACCCCGCCCCAATGGTGCGAAGCCAGTTGAATCAAAGGTTATATGTATGTGTGTATGTGTGTGTGTATGTGTGTGTATGTGTGTATGTGTATTCACGGAACTTACGCTTGAGCACCCTCTGATCCAAGACTTTCTGATGGATCGTACCGCGAAATTATTCGCGATATTCGTCAGCTGGAAGCGAGCCTTTGACGAGGCGTATACCTCTTTCATACTGCAATTGGTGTAGAGAAAAGTTTACTTCAACATCGCATGCTAGGTACATACAAAATTAAGCAGCTGTGTATACTTCCAATAACACAAGACAATGCGTCTTGGATTTCATAATATGATTACGAAATCACTTCAAGCTATGTGTTATGTTTTGTAGGACCAGGACGTCGACTTCATTGGTCCATTGCAAAGATCTGTGCTGCAACAGCACCAGGTGACGAATTGGGTAATTCGCTTGCAGCCTTCCCACTGAAATCCTGTATCATTACTTTATCTTGAACATTGGCCCATTTCTCTATCTGTACACGGGATAGAGGAAATTATGTTATGTCACTCATAGAATTGCCTGCGCAGGCAAGTAGTACGCGATGTAATGTGTAAGATGCCTGGTTTGTGACAGATGTCCACGCGAGGAGAGCGGTTGGCAATATCCACACTACCCCACTACAGGTATGATACTCAAATAAACTGTGTAGTGTGGTGCGAAATACAGTACTCTTCTTTTGTCTCATTTCTATTCTGACATCTCCGAAACAAATAATTTACCCCCCCCCCCCCAGTTCAACTCACCAAGCACGTTCCGCCGCCACAAGCGTATTGATAAATTTTGAAATTGCGTTTAGTTATTGTTTGGCTGTAAGGAGCAAATTTTTTTCAAAGCTACCTCTTTGAATAGGAAAATTTTACCTCATGCAACGATTTTCCTTGGGACAGTCTCGATCAATGTAGACATCCGGAAATATGGATGGAAATGCTGTAATTGACAAAAATCACTGACTTTTTGTCTCATTTCATGTCTCATGGAGAATAGCTTATTCTCTCAAATTTTGCACATACTTTGAACGTTTGGCTTGCAGAGGTCATGCCATGACTTTGGAGTTACAGTCTGTGTCAATCACTGCTTCCTTTTCCGTAAGCGCAATAGCCACGGCCAGAGCTTCGCGCCACGTTCGCGCGCGTATGATATCAAAATTGGCCTTATTGATTGGAGTGTATGCAGGGTCCTCGCGTTGCGCATGCGTAGTTGCCTACGCGAAAGGAAGTACGCAATTGACACAGACTGTATTTTCCACTATCTGATATATAAATAATGATGCCAACTCAAAAATCTTTAAATAGCGGGAAACCGCGGTGCGGTCCCGAAGCGCGCGGATGCGGTCTAGCTCCTCTAATTACTGGTTCGCTAGTTCACCTTGAAATGTGGAAACGGATTGAAAAGTCTTAAAGGCAGTGTCCGGGCAAAAACTCGATTTTGAGATTTTGTGCTTACCTGGGCCTATTCGCTACGCTGAATCCAAAAATGCACATTGTAGAGCGCGAAAATGGCGAAAAACGGCTCTACAGGAGGGAAATCAGCAGGTGGGCGGAGTCCTCCCCACTGCGAATTCACGTTCCCAGCTTCCGAAGCGACCTTCTCGCTTCGGGTTTCAAGTCAATCATTCGCACTTGACCGGTAGTGATGTTAGGACGGCTAGCGGAATCGAGAAAATCGCTCCGGGAGCTGTGAGAGTGAAATCGCGTTGGGGAAAGCCCCGCCCACCTGCTGATTTCCCTCTTGTGTTAGAGCCCTTTTTCGCCGTTTTCGCGCTTTCCAATGTGGATTTTCGGATTCAGCATGGTGAATAGGCCCGTATAAGCACAAAATCTCAAAATCGAGTTTTTGCTCGGACACTGCCTTTAAGTAAGCCAAGAGCGGTATCTTAAATATTTATTTGTAGAAGTTTTATCTGAACACCACCCATTACCGTATGCTTCTACGTGAGAAACCAATCAGCTTCATTGAGTGTACGGTATTGGTTTGGAATTACAACTCACTTTCTCGGCTACAGATGAAACACATGAGCTGCTGCTTGAACTGGTTAATGCTTAACAACATCCACTTCCAAGTACTCAGATTTATCTGGACACTGGATAAGCCGCGCTGTTTTTGGAGAAAAAAACTCCAAGTTCTACAGCTATTTAACAGGCTTGGCGGTTGGAAGGCGGGGCATTGTGACCTGATTAAGGCAGCTCGCGCCCGCTACGCATCTGCGTCTCTTCCGAGAGTGTGCTCTCTGATCATTACCTAGCGTTAATTGGG